ACATCGGGCTCTCTGCTCAGTGGGGAGCCTGCTTCCCTTCCTCTCTCTCTGCCTGCCTCTCTGCCCACTTGTCATCTCTGTCTGTCAAATAAATAAATAAAACCCTTAAAAGAAGAAAAGAAAATTACCACTATCACAATGATGGTGGACTCAGGAGAAAGTTGGCAGTGGCTGCTAAGTTTCATGGGTGGAAATTTGACGAGGAATAAAATATTGGTGTACTCTTGGAACGCCTTTCTACAAAATATTACTAATCAATGACAAAGGAAAAAATAATGATTTTATGATGGAGAAACATGGCTGGAAAAAAGAAGGAAAAGCCACAAATGACAATCTAGAAGAGCGTATTTGTAACTTGTATAACAAAGGATAAGAGCTGCTTATGTAAAAAGAGCTTCCACAAATCAACATTTGCATTATAGTTCAATTTAAGTGGGATAAAATATATGATAAGGGAATTAAGACAAAATACATTAAAAGGCAACAAATTAGATATGCATCATCACTGAAAATCAAAGAAATACTGAGGAAGACAAGATAACATTTCCCCCCATCAGACTGGCAAAAATTAGATGATAATGCGCTAGTATCTTCATTGATACCACAAAGCATGCCAACTAGGAAAGAAACTAAGGTGCTTTCTGAAGTGATGGTACTTGCAAAATGGCTAGAGTATTCCAGTGATTTTTGCAAAAGAAATTTTCATTATATACATTACATTTATTATAAATAAAAATTTAATATATTTATTTATATTACTTATGTATTTATTATTCATACTTTTATTATATATAATCATATCATTTTATGTATATTTGTGTGTATTTTATTATTTTACATATATATCTATATACCTATATACACTCACACTGAGCTAATCTACTTCCCTTGCCAATGTAAAAACACCCTTTGGTGTAATCACTGAGCACTTCTTCCAATGCTGTTCTATTGAAAATTGTAACACAAATAACTGTATATTCAGGTATTAACAGGAAGGGACAAGGAGAGGTCATAATATGATAAAATCACAGAATCATGGGTTAGTATTTATTTATCTCATCCATAAGTTGATGCCTGAATTCATTCTCTAAAAGTCTTGGCACCACATCTAGTATCTGCTAGAATATCTGTTGTTCCTTCCTTCCATCCGTCCTTCCTTCAACACATATTTACTGAACACCTGCTGTGGACCAGGGCAGAAATAGTGCTGAGAATTGAGTGGGGAGCAAAAGAGACCTTGTACAAAAAAGAGAATTGAGTGGGGAGCTTACAGTCTACGGAGGGAGGTAGCTGTAATCAGATAATCATATAAATACGTTTAAAATTATAACTAAGCTAAAGTGGTGGGGAAGGAGAGGTACTTGGTGATATAAGAATTCAAAAGAGGGAAACTAGACTTTGTCAGGGAGGTCGGGAAGCCTTCCCTAAGAAAGCATGGCTCGAGCTGAAATCTGATTGGTGGAAAGGGGGTTACTAGGTGAAAAAGAAGAGGCAAGAACATTTTGGGCAGAGGGGCAGTGCATGTAAAGGCCCTGTGGCAGGAAGTAGTATGATGAGTAAGGGAACTGAGAGAGGCCAGTGTGGTTGGAAGAGAGAAAAAGAGGGGAGTTAGGTGAGAAAAGGCCAGCAGGGCACATGGGACCAGCCAAGGTAAGGTTGGGACTTTAATCCCTGAAGTCCAAAAGGGTAGTAAACCCAGAGAGAGGTCCGGCTCTGTGTTTGAACATCCCTCTCCCTGCCATGCCATTTTCCCCATACCAAACTTGAATAAATAAAAACCACAAGACAACAGTCCCCGTAGTTCCATCCTTCTACTGCCCCAGGGATCACAGATTGAATCCTCCTTTCTCATGACAAATGTTTGGGGAGGGAAACCTTCCCTGCTTCCCTGCCACCAGCTCTTCCACCAGAGGGCATTGTTTCTGTCCTCCCTCCGCCCCAGGTAGATTTCTGGATGCCCTTCAGTTTGTCCTTTCTCTCTCCATGTGCGGGCCTGAGAAAGGAATGCAGAAATGATCAAGGGCCCAGGAAGGCAAATGGAAAATGATTATTGAGCAAGCTGAACGCTGCCCAAAACATAAACTCTCACTTTGAAACCATCATCTGAATGAAATGGAGACCCATAAAACTGAGAATAATGAATATAAAACAACTAAAGTGCATTTACAATGTTGGGCGGCCAGAGGATATCAGGAGAGGGAGGACAGAGGCCATTTCACCCTGTTGATGGAGGTCTGGTCACCCAGCACTTACAGAGGTAGAACTCAACGTTTTTAAAACAGAGTCCTGTGAAGTCATACTGAATCTAAACATTATAATTTTGGCGGGAGTGGTGAGAAGCAAAGCAAAACAGGCTAAAGTCATCTAGACCATTCTACGTCAGAGCCACACAAGTGCATATGAAGAATCTTACAGATGAAATATTGAATAAATAGAAGTCTGTTATACAAGGATAACAACATATAGTATGTTATCTATAAAAAGTTTTAAAACAGTAAAATGAAACTATCGTTTATGGGTTCCTCCGTGTGTTTTCAAAGCCTAAAGATGTGGAAAGGAGTCAGAGCCCAGTTATAAGCCTGTGGCTGCCTCTGGGAGGAGGAAGGGCCACATTACGAGTGGCAAGAAGTGCACAGGACTGGAGGTGGTATCGGTACCGCTTTATTTCTTAAGCTGAGTGGGGGCATGGGATATTTATTACATTACTATTATGGCCTTTTTATATTGATGAAATATGTCTATCCCAATACATTTTTAAGGAAGAAACAATGGACAACTTAAGTAGCTGGTGGACTACTGATAAGAAAAGGAATGGAAACAAGGACTCTCTTAACCCCTTTCTAGTGACTGACGTTCTATTTAAGCACAAGTTTTAGACAAGCTCAATCCCTGGATGGCATAAAATAGTCTCACGATAAGACACAGGCAGAACCCTAGTGGACAGAATCGAGGCCCTATCGAATGAGCTACGTGGGATGAGTTCTAGTCACTGAAATTCCAGCAGTACCCGAACGAGAAGATCCTGGGCACAGACCCTATGCGGAATTTACAGAGGCAGCTCCTCCGAGGAGCACTGAGTCTCAGCAAGATGCTGATACTCCCAGTAGATTAGGTGCAGACGGTATGGAGTCTACATATTTTAGTATTTCACGAGGCATCAACTTACCTGTTGTTCCAGGGTGGTTGGATCAATAAATGTCACCAGGTCTATAGAAAAGTAACCAACCACATTTTTCATTTTACAAGTATTTCCAATCTTGAGGCACAAAGAGCAGAGGAGTTGGGGATCCACTGAGGTCTGAGGCATGGTGGTACCAGTAGAGATGAAGGGGCCTTCTGCATGGAGCTGGTCCCCTGTGGACAGCACTCTGATTTCTCCATTGGGCTCAATCAGCATGTCCACCGTCAGGTTGGTGACACTTTCTGCGGGTGGGTACGCTTCCATCGTGCCTCCTGGTGGGAAAAGCATGGAGTAGGTGAAAAGGTGGGCCCATGTGATTGTGTCCACGTAGCACAGTAGGAAAAATCTCGGGCTTTGGCAGATGGACTTGGGCTCAGATCCTGCATCTGCCATGTCTTGTGAGACTTTGGGCAAATAGTTTCAATTCTCTGAACTTCCTTTTTCGTCATCTATAAAATGGGGATAATAAAACCTACCTCACCAGATTGTTGTGAATCTTAGAGATACTCTCTATATAGTATTTATTCCAGTACTTGGCATATACTAGGACTCAATGAATGTCAGGTTTCATTCACCATAAAGACACCATAAGATCATCAAGGCTGTGCCTATTCATAACATACAGAGTGGACCCAAGGACCATAGGCAAATCCCTCAGGGGGAATGAACTGCCCATTGTCCACGTTTATAGCTTGATGACAAGTGCTCTTTCTGTTCAACTTCACTGCTTTTTTAAAAACTTTTTTTTTATTTTTAAGGATTTTATTTATTTATCTGACAGAGAGAGACACAGAGACTGAGGGAACCCAAGCAGGGGGAGCAAGAGAGAGAGAAGCAGACTTCCCGCCGAGCAGGGAGAGCAAGGTAGGGCTCCATCCCAGGACATGACCTGAGCCAAAGGCAGCCACTTAACGACTGAGCCACCCAGGCTCCGAATTTCACTGTTTTTTGAAGTTTCAATAGGTTAGGACTTTTATCCGGAATGGGAGAACACTGACACTTATGTCAGAGCACTCCTATGCCACTCCAATTGTCAGGCTTTTTTTTTTTTTTTTTAAATGTGGAGTGCAGGAGATGCTGCCATTCTTGAAGAAGGGTCCCTACTGATAATGAAAGCTTTACAATTATTCATACTTTCCCTTTTGCTCTGAAAAACAGAAATCACAGAGGCCAAGCTGATGCTCAGCCACAGCAACGATATGAGACCAGGCTAATTTTGCGAGTCAGCTTAGTCATGTCCACAGAACATACAGGGCCCTGATATTTAGTTGTAGGCCCCACAAAAATCTTACTGTCTATATACCTTGTATAGAAGAAAAATTTTAGTATTACTTATAAAGAATAAGATAGCATAACTTAAAAGTAAAAATAAGGAAACATTCCCTAGACAGGGTGGCCTCTGGAGCCCGAGAGCATTAAGACAAACTTGGTGCATATTTCACAAATTTGTTAGGAGGTGACCTCTGCCCCCGGGGCTTCAAACAGCATATACGGTTAGATCCTGAGACTTTAGCAATTCCCAGATGCAGCCATCTGTTACTTTACACAAAAGGCACTTTCCTTAAGTGTCTATGTTTGTTGGGAGCTGGCCCTAAGAAAAGCTGAGTTTCAGAAGGAAAACTCATACATCTAGTTAGTATGAGATGTGCTTTCCTTTTTAAATGGGGCCCACTAGTATGTGCTGCACCTAAACACAGGTTGTTGGGGAATTAGCAAGGTAAGTGCAACAAAACAAAATCTGCAAAAAACAAACACAAATACCAATTGCATCTCTGTTGAGTGAATTAACTGCGTGGCTTTAACCCACCACCTATATTTTGAAAGCTGGTGCCTCCATGGAACCATATTATCCTTTCTACATCCAGGATTACTTGAGTTTGTTTTGTTTTACTTGAAGGTAGCTGATTCGTATGGTCTTCTCAGCATTATGATCATGGCTTTTTCACTGTTAACTTTTTTTCCTTTCAAAGCAATTAATTCCTCTTTTTAAAAAGTATATTGCCTTTGATGATAGTCCTGTGACAAGGTAGAAACTGAATGTATAGCACGTTTTGTGGCCATAAGCACACCCAAGAGAGCAGAAGGGAAATGAAACAGGCAAGAGTGGAAGGTGGTGAGAGATGTGGCACGGGAGTCAGGAAACTGCAGGTATGTGTGTGTGTGGGGGGGGGGCGTGATAGCCCGGCTTGGCCAGTGAGCATTTATGCAGGGCCTGCCGTATGCACTGGGCTCAGAGCCAGGCAGAGGTTTGGAAACACATGACTTCCTAGAACTGGGTTTTTGAGACGTATTAAAATTGTAGGGTCTAACTGTATTACTATTCACCATATATTTGTTGTATGGTTTTGCCCAGTGACTTCCGAGCTTTGAGCCCATCTCTCCAACTATAAAGTTGGCTTCATAAAGCTTGTTCTGCTTCTCATAAATAGTTACTGTGCTTACAATGGCTGAAAGAAAGGAAGAAGGGGTAGAGATGAACAGGAGGTCGAGGCTCAGCCCAAGCTTATACAGCTCAGGTGAGACAGTAGCTGGGAAACCCTTTCTAAGCTACAAAGCTCCCATGACAAGAACTAGATTAGAGGATGGTTTGCAGGCTGACCTTGGATGATTTGGAAACTCCTAAGTCCTATCCTGGATGCACCTGGAGATCTTCAGGGTCTCCCTGTTCTAACAAAAAGAATCCCTTATTCTTGACCGGTTTTGTTGTAGGTACCTTATTTTCTCCCATTTATGCATATGGGGGTGACTCTGTTAGTTTTACTTTTCTGTCAGTGGGTGCATGTGGAAATTTGTAGAATCACAGAAGTTTGGATATGAGAGCACACCGGAGATCATGAGTTATCTCCCCTTCTCCCCGCATCAGCGAAAAAGCCCCTTACATCATGCTTGTTAGATCTCTGACCATCCAACCCCTAGCTTGACTAATGCAATAACAGGGTGTTCGCTACTCCCTCCCACTCCACACTGCCCACCCCGTGCCTTCCAACAAGCCACGCACCTGTCCTTTCCGGTGCTCTCTCATACACTGAGCTAGGGATGTGTTCCTTGATAAATATACCCGCTGGGTCCCATCAGGACTCCCAGAACAACACAGAGGTAGCCTCTTATCGGCTCTGCTATGCATTCACGGGGTGATTTGGGGCGAATTACTTAATCTTTTGTACCTCCGTTTCCCCTTCTGTAAAACAAGAATGACCATGGTACCCACCTGATAGGATTGTTGGGGGGATCAAATAATAAGATAGTGTCCAGCACATGATAAACACTCCCAGTGCTCACCATGTGGTCTCCACTGTGCTGTGATCAGCGTTGTGCAGTCGTTGCCGCCCTTATCTGACGTCATGTTAGGATATTATCACATATTAATGTTAATATAATCACCTTTATGATCACCTGACAGCAGTGAATAGCGTGTAAAGATACCGTCTGTGGCCTGTTATACTATCTCCTCCTGTCCCTCACGAGGGTAAGCAAGTAAGACTACCTGCCTTAGGCTGTAACTTCCTAAGAGGGAGGGGCCTTGCGTGGGCATGTGGTCCCCACAGGGACCTCTGCAACTGGGGACAAGCATCACTCGCTCCATTCAGCCCCTCATCCACACACCCCCTTCGTGTCCTTAGATCAAAGGGTAAGTTAGGAGGATGGAAGGACGGTGGAGGATCCTTACTTAGAAGTCGTGCTTTCAGAACTGGAGGAGAGACCATTTCCACTGTCTCACAAAAGGGAAGGGGAGACTAACACGTATTAAGGACACACGCTGAGGCTGTGTGGCAGAAATGTTCATATCCGTATTGTGTTGGATTTCCCCCAGCAACCCCGTGAGGTCGGTAAGGGAGGAAACGGGCCTCTGAGAGTTTTAGAACCTTGTTCGAGGTCAGGGATGAGCTCCATAACCCGGTCATCCGACTTCAAAGCCCACCTGTCAGGGGAAGTCCAAGGTGCAAACGCAGGGTAGGATCCCGAGTTGTGCCCGCGCGCCACGCCTGCTGCGCACAGCTCCCGTTCATGTCAGAGACTGGGCGCAAGTTAAATTTCCAGACAAACTTCAAAAGAGAGAAGGAAGTCTGCTTGTAGGAGCACTGATGTAAAACCAACACAAGAGAGGCAAGGGATTTAAATCGGTGTGAGGTTGACCCAAAACTAGGGATTCAAGGTTGTGTGGACCAATCCTCAGTAGAAACTTTACAGTCTTATTTACCTTGACAGAGAAATGTTTGGAGGAATTTCCTCCACGTCGGGAACCGTTTCTCATTGACTGGCTGTGCGTGCTGTGCTAAAATGCCCGCCAGCTCCTCGGAGATCTTCACCAAAGCTGGCTCCTGCAGAAACAAATTAAATAGAACCACAAGCAATTTTACTACAGAAATGAAAACTGCTTGTGGAGTGATTAAAAACCAGGCCTCCAACAGGCAAAAAAAATGTGGTTACTGTTTACCCAGAGTCAGAAAGCCATTTTGAAATTTTGCTCTAATTTTCCGGGCATTTCAGTTTTCATATTTCAAAGTGATTTGGCCCCTATATTTTGCTGCTAGTCATGCCTCTTGTCTCCGAAGGGCAGCCTTCCGTCTGGACGTCAGGAAACCCGGCTGCAGACCCGCAGCAGCTGACCAGCTGAGCGTCCTTGGACAGTGGGCCTCTTCGCTCTGGGCCTTAGTTTCCCTTTATTGTAAGATGGGGGTTCGTTACCTTGTCCCTAAGATCCTTCAGACCCGAACATTTTTTATTCTATGACCCTAACCGGGCTGACCCTGGGAGAAATTACAGAGTTGAAAAGGTCTTTCTTTGGCACTGTGTCCTTTCCCCCTTGTTGGGGGCCTCCACATCCTACAGCCATGGGATCAAAGCCTTAAACTTCAGGCTGATCCTATAAAGGTGGGGTTATAGATGGGAGCAGGTTGGAAGAGTGAGGTGGGAAGAAGGGCTGGCATTCCCCGCTAGGTCACAGCCTCATCTGACTAGACCTGAGACAAGCCCCCTACCATCATCAAATAACCCAAACCACAGAGCCCCGTGTCAAAATGAAAACAGCTGGAAATTCCCTAAAGAATAAGATGCCTGACTTTCTGATATAAAAAGCTTCAGGTTGCCACAGTCAATTTTTTTTTTTCTGGGTAGTCTTAGTAGAATCTCTAAAAATTTTCAAATAAAAGCCGTCTCTTTAGGTTTTATTTCTGGCAGAAGTAGGGCAGGGGGCACTAGATGTAAAACCATTTGATGGGCGATATTAATCTTCAAAATATGGGACGCTGACAAGTAAAACTCAGGCTTGCTTTTGGTAGCTGGGGACCTTCTGGATCTATGTGTGAGTGCTCAGTAATTTGGAAGAATTGGAAAAGAATCCACTGCTTCGGTGAGTGGGGTTGAAAGGAATCTTAGAAATAATCTGTATACTCATTTATTTCCAACTTCCCTGACATTAAAAAAGTGGTTGTCCTGCCCCTCCACCCCCAGCCGCTCCCCACCCCCAGCTCCCCGGGATATCTGTTTCATTCTGGGTCCAGTGCTCTCTGAAAATCTAAAATAGAAGACAGATATCTGAGAATATACTCTAAGCAGGTCCAAATCATCTGAATAATTTCTGAAATATCAAGAAAATCCTGGTGGGAGAGTCTCATTAGTTAGTTTAGTAAGTGCTTGACATACAGAACAAAAATGCCGATGAGAAGGGGAGAGTGTCCGGCCAGCAGGTTCAGGGTGAGTCACTGTGCAGGGGCTGGAGGTCTGTTCCGAAGGGCTGGGGAAGCAGGCTCAGACCACGAGCCTCTGCCTTGGAAGTGGAGGCAGGGAAATTGCTGTCAAAGCAGGGGACATTTTGCCTTGCATATTCTGCCCCGTGTACACATTTCCTCTGCTTTTCACTGGACATTACCTCAGGCCTTCAGAGTCCTGCATCTCAATCATAAACAGCCATACACAGTGCAGAGTTCCAACGATTGGACCCCCTCGTTACTCCTTCTTGGAACACTGTCCCCCAAACCCAACTTTCTTTTCATTTGGCACTTGTTTCAGTTAAAAGCATTCTAGTCTATCGAAGAAGACCAATTGTCTGTGATTTATGAGGTGCCCCAAAGCTCAGACGCCCGGCATGGCTGTCGATTCCCACCCTGCTCTGGGAAAGCCCAAAGAAGCCTCGCAGGCCAGGCCCTTCCCCATGACCATGGAGGCTTCTTTTCTGTTCACCCGTGATTAAAGGGTCTTCCCGGCCCTGCTTCTAAAAAGTGTTGACATCTGCACCATTGTCTCCTGTGTGGCTATTCATATCAAGACAGTCCAAAGGGAAAGAACTCAGTTATTCATTTACTCATGCACGTATCAATAAATTACAGGTATGCAGAGTATCAAAATCACAGAGACAGACAGTATAGTGGTCTGTCTGGGACTGGGGGCAGGGGGAATGGGGAGTTGGTGCTGCATGGGTGTAGAGATCGAGTTTCACAAGATGAGAAGAGCTAGGGAGATGGATGGTAGTAATGGCCGCCCAGGGTTACAAACATATTTATGACCACAGGCCTGTACACTTAAAAATGTTAAAGATGGGGGCACCTGGGTGGCTCAGTGGGTTAAAGCCTCTCCCTTCAGCTCAGGTCATGATCCCAGGGTCCTGGGATCGAGCCCCGCATCGGGCTCTCTGCTCAGCGGGGAGCCTGCTTCCCTTCCTCTCTCTCTGCCTGCCTCTCGGCCTACTTGTGATCTCTGTCTGTCAAATAAATAAATAAAATCTTTTAAAAAAATGTTAAAGATGGTAAATTTTATGTTATATGTATTTACTACAATAAAAGCAATGGGAGGAAAAATGACCAAATGTCAGGCCTTCCTTTTAAGTAGCTGAACTAGGGGAAAAGAGTGTCTTTGTGTTTTAGGGAGTGGAGATGGAGGGCAGTCAGTGAAGGAATAGGTGGGAACCTTGCTACCTAAATCTTGAAACTAGATCTCCATCAACTTGAGGATCAAGTGAGACTCCCCAGATAACACATGAAAAGAGGGGCCACTGTGACTCGGCCCGCGATTCCTAATGTAGCCTCACCTCTCTCCTCTCCAGCTCCCAGGCTTGCCCCAAACTCTCCTGTTCGGTCTCTTTCCTCAGCCTGCCTTCCTTCCTTTCCTCCCCTGGCTGCCTCCTCCTCATCCTGAGTTAGTCCCAGTCACACCTCCCCCAGGAAGCCTTCTCTGTCACCAGCAGGGTATACTTTCTCTGTGCTCTCCAGCTGAGGGGGGGGGGAGGGGGGCCTCCCTCAGGGTGTGGTCAGTGGCTTTGAGGTCATTTGCCCCAATGCTCTGCACAGGGAATACTAACTGTGGAATGAATCATGGCAGTAGTTAAACACGGACACAGCCCTGAGCAGCTGAAGTTCCAGAGTAAGGGAAAATGTGAAACCGCTCAACAGGCCTCCCTCCTTGCTGCCCAGGAACCACCTGGGGGATGACCACTTAAGAACCACCCATGCTTCCTGGGTGGATGTTATGGGATTCCCTGCCTCTGAGGGGCATTGGGAAGATAAACGAAGTGACATTTATGAAGTGTCACCTCAGATGCAACACGCTATGTGAGGGCCAATAATTAACTCGTAGGGCTGAGGCTTGTGTGAGGCATCTGAACGCCGTGCCAAGTGGCCACTCTGCTCACACAGCCAGCCGTTCTGCCCAACCCGCAGCATTGACGCTGTGCACAAAGCCACAGCAAGGGGGTAATTTCCTAGAGGAAACTCTGCTGCAGGAATCAGGAGGAGGAACTGCGTCCCGTCATGAGAAGTACACAGCTGAAGGCACTGGTGGGGTGGTGTTCGCTAGGGGATGCTGGGGCACATGGAGGCAGCTTGGGGCCATGATTAACTCTCTAAGAAAAAGATATGGCTTGGAATAGGGGGAAGGTATTAGCTCTTCAGTGAATTTCTTTGAAGGCATCTGATGGGACATAGGAGGAGTATGCTAAGAATGGCCTTAGCACCAACGAAAAGAGAATTGTCGCCCCACCCCTACCGCACTGAGCCAAATGGTACAAGCCCAGCAGGACCTGCAGCTCATATATTCAAGAAAAGGCAGCAAACTGACATTCCATGTAAGAGCTGTTTTATCTCCACCACCCCTACAAACAACCCTTCAGCTTGGAAGCTGCCTGTGCACGGGTGGGTGAGGCCAGAGCTCAGAGCCAGGTGCAGAGGACTCCAGCAACACTGTGGCGAGACAACGTGAGAGCACCCTTTTCTTGGGAGCAACGAGGTCTCTCTGATGTCAGATGCCAGTTCTCAGGGCGGAGGGGTAGTTTCTGTTCCCTAGTGATGATCATCTTGCGTAGTTCGAACACAGTTACCACATCTTCAAGAGCAGATGTTGTAAGGGGAGATCTGTACCGATTTCAGGCTTATTCCTTCAAAATGACTCAAGGACACCCAGGTGCCGGCGTGCTCCCATGCACCTGACCACAGCAGACAGACCTCTGGGTTCAAGGGAATGGTCAAAGCTGTATACGTAGAATGCTTTCCTTTGTCGAGGTAGGCTCACATCCATGAGCTCGTTTGGTCCCTACAGTAAGACTCTGATGTAGGTCTGCGCAGTATCGCGTTCCCTGCTTTGCAAATGGGAGGCGGAAACTCTAGAATGAAGATGCTTTTTGCATTGTCAGATTCTGCTCCTGGGTGAGTATTAACACAGCACTAAAGACAGAAAAAAATGGGAGGTTTGTAGGAAGGAGTGCTAGCTTGCTTTCTTTACCCCCTTTTCACCCTCCCGAAGTGTGCCTATATAGGTGTGTGTGTGTGTGTGTGTGTGTGTGTATGTGTGTGTGTATTTATACATATTCATAAAATGTCTGTTACAAGCCAGCAATGGGGACCTTTATCCTATAAGCTTGTGAAGTGAGTAGTTAGAAGGTTTCACTTCAGGGAGTCACATCAAGGTGGTAGACTACCCAGTCAGTGTTTCAGAGGTCCCATCACTGGCGCGGAGTAGATAATTTAGAGCTAACAACTCTGCAGGTGTGGGAAGGAAACTATGTACCTTGTGGATGATAAATGATATTAGAAAAATTCACTTTACTTTTTGAGAAAAAAAAAATCAGAATTACAGATTTTTCTTCCATCACCATTGCACTGATTAGGCCAACACACATTAGTTGCTGGCCTTTGTGGAGCTGAGAGCTTGAGAGCAAATCCCATCCAGGAGGAACTTTGGCCCCATCTTTGCCATTGTAGGCTTGTCCCCTTTCTCCAGTACGCACAAGTACCCCCAGGGAGCACTGACAATAGTCATGACCTTGGAAGGTTCCAAGATGCCTGTAGAGCATAGCACATAGGGCCTCCCTCTGACCCACCACGGTATCCTA